CACTTTTGAGCTCGAAAACCAACACTTGTATGAGTTCAGAAAAATCTTGATGACCTTGATGAATGCAAAAACTTCTTTGAGAGCCTCTTCGGCAGGTCAACCTAGCCTGTAAAACTTTCTCCCAAGTTGGAAGCAACCCTCATGCAAATGTCCACTAAGACTCAGCAGTGAGAACCAGTTTGAAGGGTTCAGGAAGTAATCTCGAGAAAAAGTCTCTTTCAACATCTCAGACTCTTCCGATTTCTTTGAAAATCCTCAAGTTCCTGAGAACTGAAACCTTTCCTGTTTAGGGCATCAGAAGCAGAGCATTAAGGTACGATGAAGAGCTACTGTATCCAAAATTGTACAGCGAACTCCAAAAGGCAAGGGGCGTGTCTAGGTTAAAAAAGACAAATGAAAAGTTACTGCCAAATATAGACGGATTCTTTTGAACCGCCTCATATGAAGGACAAATTCTGCGTATGGACCGCTGAAGATCGCTATAAAAATGGATGAAGGCTCCGGGTATTCCTTTTTTGATGCATGAGAAGATATGTGGAAAAAATGTCCAACTTCAGATAAGNCTTTAGATTTTAACTTCATTCACCGAAATCTCGCTTGAATAGAAAATAAATAGGCGTCCAAATCAAAAATTCCAACGATTATTTTTTTTTGAAAACTCATAAGTAGATCCCCTACCGGTATGGGAAGTCCGAAAGGAGGAAAAATCGTAAAAAGTCTGTTAGCAGAAGGAACACAGTGGATCTCTTAAAAACTATGCTTATGATTGCCTATCAATTGAAGAAGACCTACTTCACTGTCCAGTAGATTTTGATTCGTCAGAAGTAGATCCAGGATTGACCATAGATGGATTTCACCATCTTCCAGGCACTGATGCTGAGTAGAAACCTGAACGGATCGATAGGCTACGGAGTTAATTTTTCCAATACAATCTTCTGAAATGTTACCTGATTCTCCCTTTCGAATTTCGGTACCGAAATTCGGTTTGAAGTGCATGATGGTTCTCTTAAAAGTACAACGATTTACATACAAACAGTCCGTATTTAGCAAAAGGGATAAACGTAAACGCCAGCGCCGGTCGAAATCCTGATGAAGAGCTTTTGCAGTCCGGAACTATCATCTAATATTAACTTTGTTGAATGTAAAAACTTCTTTGAGAGCCTCTTTGGCAGGTCAAACTAGCCTGTAAAAACTTTTGTCCCAAGTTGGAAGTAACCCTCATGCAAATGTCCACTAAGACTTAGCAATGAGAACTAGTTTGAAGGGTTCAGGAAGTAATCTCGAGGACACTTCTTTTTCAACATCTCAGACCCTTCCGATTTCTTTAAAAATCCTTAAGTTCCTGAGAACCGGAGCCTTTCCTGTTTAGGGCATCTAATCATAGTTCAGAAGCAGAGCATTAAGGTACGATGAAGAGCCACTATATCTAAAATTGACAGCGAACCTCAAAAGGCGAGGGGCGTGTCAAGCTTAAAAGTAACAAATGAAAAATTACTGCCAAATATAGACAAATTTTTTCAAACCGCCTCATATGAAGGACAAATTCTGCGTATGGACCGCTGAAGATCGCTATTAAAAGGGATGGAGGCTCCGGGTATTCCTTTCTTTGATGCATGAGAAGATATGTGGAAAAAATGTCCAACTTCAGATAAGCGTCAGAATTGAAAATGAAGCAGAACATCAACGAATAAGCTGCAAAAGAAGATTCGACATGGAAAATGTAAAATAGTAGGAAATGATAAAGATATCGTGTGACAAATGTCTTTTGTATTCCTGAAAGATTGGGACCTGCCCAAACAAAACAAGCTTCCCAAACCTCCCAGAAATTATATGACCGTACCAGGAACGGAGTTCTGTGGAAGAATCGAATATTGATTTATGAAAATCGACGAAATAATCAATAACAGTGATTTGGGGAAAAAATCAATAAAAAACCGCACTGTAGGGATGATGACAGAAGGTTATTGCCATTGATCGATAACTACACGAATGGGTGGGTGAGGCGGTGATTGTATGACGTCAGCTGTGATCTACCTGATCACACACAAACTCGATGGGCACGGTAACCTAGGTAAAAATGGATGACAGTAAGGTCCTGGCTGACTTATCTGAACTGATCAGAAACTTCCGTGGGCGCCCATCGAAGGTACTTCCACAGAAGAATCTGGACTTGGAAACCGTGATATCAGCTCACAAATTTCGAAAATATTTTGGATTATCGCTGAAAGTTCTAGGGATAAAATGTGGTGCAGCTTCATTTGGTATCCCGATTGTCATAGCCTACATTGTCGAGAATCAGCCCCACTGTAAATCAGTTTGAGGGTGGTCCACAGCGACTACTAGCGCAGAGGGGAGCTTTATCTCTCGCCTAGGCATCTTTAATCTTTGTCTGAAATGACGTAAAATCTGAGGTGCCATATGGCAAGAATAAGTCTAGAGCATGCCTATTTTTAAGCTCCGGCGAAGGCCTAGACGTTAGACGCCAAAGACCAGTTGGACCCTTTCTATACGATTTCAGTAGTATTCTTGTAGCATCTATGCACCACGCAATTTTCACCTAGCCTATACAATGACTTGTGTAGTCCAGCTGATGATTAAGTCAGAGTTTTTATGTTGTTGGTTGAGTCTACTGTACGATCCCAGGAGGGATGGAAGCCCGGTCAGTTTGGACACACTGCCGATCTGGGATTCGATCCCCTTGCAGTGGGTGCTCCGGTACCGCAGCCATTCCTCGTTGTATTACCTCACTTATGAGGTTGATGCCAAAATAAATGAAACAAGGGAGGAATCTGAAGCCTACTTCTTTGACGCTTTTGCAGCAGTAGATCATTTCTTTGTTATTTATTGTATTTTGAAAAGCACAATTGTAACATTAAAGAAGCATATGACATCCTAAAAAAAGCCATGATGGTGAGAAAACAAACGGTAGTAAAACAAAAGAAGTACTGTCATACACAGTGAGAGGATTTGGACTGTATTCTGAGTGATTTTCAGAAGATCTATTACTGGACATCATTTCTGAATAGACTGTAAAACCGTAGGAACTAAAACCGGATGACACCACTTCCACGTCCATCACGAGTTCGATCTTTGTCAATTCGATCTGAAAAACAATCGCCTTTTCCCATGGCTTGTTCATTCCAGCACAGAAATTTTTCTCTGAAACTTCTGCATAATGGAAAGAAATGGAAACGTTACCACGCAGATGTGGGTATGGTGCAGGAGGGGGTTCTGTTCCAGCGGAGGATCTGCTGCAAATGCAAATTCAGTTTATGTTAAGTCGGCTTTATATTATTGTGGAATAAAAGGAAATATAGCGAAAGCAACCATCTCCGATAAAACATTTTTGTACGTGCCGTGCATTCTACTTCACTCAGAAAATTCCGATTCCTTATCCGTTTTAATCAAGAAGACTGTGACATCCCCGCAATCATGGGTCAGTTTCAAGAGTACATATGTTATCGCTCAGCCTACAAGCGAAAGCGGAAGGGGGGGGGGGGGGGGGGGGGGGGGTGTGGATGAGGTTGGATTGAGCTGCTGGAGAAGAAAAGTTGAATTATGGCTTTTATTTTCTAGTTACACCACCGAAAAAATGGAAAACATAGAGGCGTAGAGACAGAACGGAATGGATCGGGAGATGAAGGTCATGGAGGTTGTGAGGTCATGCAAAGATCCATCGTGGAAGAGGAGTCGTACAGGTTGCGAGTGGGTGGAAGTCAGAATATATTTGCCAGAGTCCGCTGCCGCAATTAATTCCAGATGGATCGGAAAGTTCAGTAGGCAAAGACAGAATTGATTCTGACCCTGATATACGAATCAACTCTGTAAGTGTTCAGGACGTCTCTTATGCTACCCAAACGGGTTCCGTTGCTGTAGGAGCATCTCTATTTCTTAGAAGCTCAAATTCCATTACATGGTATTGTGTATGCGTCTACACTAACCTCGTGATGTTGTGAACAAATGGAGATTGAGTGGAGGAGCCTTGGTCTCGACTAGGTTCTTGCTGAAATGAATTGCCAGCTTTTTACAGGCAACATAAAAAATTCGAGTTCGCCTTCCGACTTTCGGAGCTCACCATCACGGCTTCGCATGCCATTTGATTTTCCCTTGCTCTCTCCATACGTCGCCGCAGCTCGTATACATCAGCTGGAGGCTCCGGTGGACGTTTGGTGGAAGGAGTACGTGGTTTACTGAAAAGATCTCTGTTTGCTACAGCTCACCATCAGAATCTTTTGACAATGGAGCTTGGACATAGTTGTTTACCTAGAAGGTTTTGAGCTGCTAGAAGTTCCACCAGTAGGTCCCCAAGTACTTTTTTCGGTAGAAACCATTTTCGATCCGCGAGTGGCACCGGTAGAGGTCGTGTTCTGAAAGATTCAGTGATTCAGAAAGTAATTGCGCTATACAAAATAGCCTCCACACAAATTCTACCGCAAGTCGTCTCCCTGACCTACAGCAAAAATCATGAACCCTGAATCCCGAACACCTAGAATAAGAGTGGCTCTACTTTGGGCGTCCTCATTTTCAAATTTTGGAAGTTAAAATTTTCTTGGGAAAGAGATGTGTCACTCTCCCGGGCCTTCCCACCAATACAAACACTACAGTATCCTTACCGGTCCGACGACAGAGCACATACGCCTTCGACCAGTCCAATACGGGAAGAAAGACTGTGACGATGGCTTTGAAGTTGTGGTCCTGCCTAGAATTCAACGTCTAAACAATATTTCAAGTTTGATAGGGCTAGATATAAATTCGTGGAGTAACAACTAATTTATCCAACAATCTCAGCGATTCTTTGAGGTGATTTTGAGCAAACTAAAGTTTCATAGTCAGTCTAATTACGGAAAAGTTAACCCTGTTCGTGGGAGTTATTGTGAAAAGGTAAAGGTTCAATGCTGATAAGACATGTATTCGATAGGTACCCCAAGTTAGATGAACTCACTTCCAACTGGGAGACTCGGCGTGGTCCGAATCCTCTTAGGAGCGCCATTAGTGCCTCGTGAACGACCCGTGCCTGTTTTACTCGGCCTTCTGAATGATTTCTGTCACTGTTTGAACATTGTTCATTGTTCAAACGTAAATAAAAAGTTTAGGAATAAGTAAATAAATAAACAATTGATTGAAAAAAGTAAAGTACATTATTGACAAAGAATTAATAAAAAATAGGAAGGTCATAAATTTAAACTGTTTATTGTATCTAACGGAGGTAAAGTTGGAATAGATATTAAAAGAATTTGCCAAAGCTAATTCAAAAGAGGAGAGCTTTCAAAGTGAGAGCTAATATTAATAGAGAATGTATTGTAGTTAGCATACTTTAAACCGTCAGATTCGCTGGAAAGCCTCTGGAGCGGCGCTGTATCGCGTCCCAGTTTCCCAGGGACACCCTGAAAGTAGTAAGCCATGGTGTTTACAGAAAAGCAAATTTTGGATCAGCAGCGACCCTGAACGAATTCCGGTTGCTCCTATGGCAATTCCCTCTTTGAAACCTCCAAAACAAACGGGCAGGCTCTGTCTAGGAGACCTACTCTGCGATTAATGAGTTGTTAATCAAACGGACAAATCGGCAATCAATGCAGGGATAATATGTATCAAGTAGGATTAAAAGCCCAACGTTTTCGCCTTTGAATTTTTCAGAATACCACATTTTTTGGCTGAAAATAACCCCTGCACATTGCTTGTCTGTGTAGAGGAAGCTGTGCCGATCGAAACAACCGGAGTAGCCGTTCCCATTGAAAAGATGCATACTGTAATTGTCACAGGGACGGTACTCGGGGAAAGAGCGTCCTATCTTAGTCAACGTCACTATGAAGAACATCTCCACAGTTCATCTAATAGCTACCACAGCCTAGCAGTGCACCTGAGATCGATGGCATCGGCTGCTATCAACTTACCTTGTCACGCGAACTTCCCGTCGTTGCGGTTTTGAATTCGCTCGAGGCGATGCTCGGCCATTCTGAACGAGTTCGGTAGCTCTTTGTGAAGGGTCGGGTGAAAAATCGCTCTTTGGGCTACCTGGGCTTGATATTTGATGGGCACTCACCGGCGGAACTCTTTTCCTTCTCTTTCTCGACAAGCAAGACACCTGGGAAGGGAGTTTGTTGTGTGATAGGTACCTTGCTCGATGCTATTGCATGAGCTGTGGCGGCGACGTCACGACGCTCCATTGCCACTTCCTCCTGAAGTTTCTGTATCCCTTCACCAACTTCTTATGTCCCATCAGTTATGAATAATTTAACACCTATACTGTCTAAGATCAACACCAGTCAGCTCAGATCACTCATTCTGACGTCGTCGAAATCGCCGTATGCAAAGAGACGTTACCACTATAGTCGTTCCAGGAGTTCCAGGTGTTGACGAATGAGCAAGCGGTGCAGAGCTTCCAGTTCTAGTATCTTGAGCAAGTTCTTTACTGTGTCTCTGATCCACTCCATCAGCTGATGACAGAGGAGTAAGTCCAGTGAAAAGCCCAGGCAGTCCTGCGGGAGGAGCCCTGCAACATGTTAGGGTAATTGGTTTCCCTAATTAAGTCATTAACTATACCACGATTCGTAGTAGTAACAATCACTGCCTAACCAAAGGGAGCCACCTAGTCACGCATGTGTTGTGAACCGTAGCTGAGTGCATGGCGCATCCACAACAGACTGATGTCAACAGTTCACCCTTTATTGACTAGAAGCCAACAAATCATCATGGACCGCTTACAATAGCGACTGCCTGCTACATTTTGAAATAGAGACAAGATACCAGAAGATAAACTCGAGTATTTTATGTCCAAATGGAAATGACCTTTTCGAATAACAGTTTCTTTTTCGGAAATTGCCCTTAATATGACCCTGCAGTTCCGCAATTATAATTGTTGAATGGACAATTTTGATTAGAAAAGCTCACTCCACTGGAAGGTTCAAGTTCGGTGGCGGTGGCGGAGCATCTACGACTGGAGGAGGGGCAGGCTGAAATAAACAACCGAAAAAAAACTGTTGTTTTCAGAGCCAACGATTGGTTCTTGTAGGCCTATACCTCCCATTTAGACAGCGAAAATACCATCTATTAGAGAAGGTGTAGTATCTCATAAACAAACAAATATACAAGTTAATATACAACAGTTCTATATAAATAAGCGATTTATTAAACAATAGTTCTATGGTCCTCATTTACCGTATGATTACTCAAAGATGGTGTTCATCTATGAAGCCAATTACAGTACTTAGTAGGGCAGCATATTCCAAAAGCGCTTTATAAAATAATGGCAACTATGGAGCGGATTTTCTTGTAGGTAATAACCTTTGTATTTTAATCAACCGTAAAATACTTGTAGAAACTTACTGCTGGTGGCCGATGTTTTCTAGGACGTCCATTTTGATGAAAGTGGTGGGTATGAATAGCTGAAACGTTATTTACTCTTGAAAGGTGTCAACTGAAATCCCTAACTGGACAGTATCCTCGATACCACTTCTCCATGGTTAAGCTCGAACATGTCGACGTTGCCGGAGGGTCATTCCGACATTTATCTACCCTTAAGCTGCTTTATGTAGCTAAAAGGTCAGCAGTAAGAAGAGGCAATGCCGGAGCTGTCCGAGACCGAGGTGCAACTATGGGCAATCTGAACTCTTTATCTCAAAGCCGAAGTGAGAACGAAGTCAGAGAGTGAGATTAACGACGAGGGAGTTCAAGAGCTTCTAGTGGTGGCTTTCATGACCACTACTATGATTCATACCCTAAGCTGGTACGTACCGCCCAAGGATCTTCTCTGCTTTTCGAACTGACCAGACTACCCTAATTTTAGGTTTCTATATGCACAAGAATCATCATGCACCCACGTCTCATAGCGAACTCCTTCATTCTCAAATCCATTTCTTTTCGGCTTCTCCCTTCTTCTTTGTACTTCAACTTCAATAAGTCGCACTTATTCCTTATTGTTCGTACATGCATCTGAAATACTTATATCGAGTTCTGTGGTAAACAGACAGTCCCACATACCCACATCAACGCAAACAAGCCTGAGGAATCATGAGTTCACATATAGGGGTAGAAGGCGGCGAAGCTCCAGTCCATGGTCAAATTGGCTCATGGATTCTGCCCTGGGTTCCACTGGTGATGCGTTGCATATGCTAATTTCGCAGGTGCATTCCTCTAATTTCGGGGGTAATTTTTAACAAATTAAGGTTCTCATTTCTTTACGATACCAATCCATAAGAACACAGTGTACCAATCCATCTCATCTCGTTGAAGGAACAACTAGAACTTTCTCTTCCACGGACTCCACGGCATATGCGTATGCTGCTGGATACATCGCTTGGCTGGTCAGCTGTCTCCGGGATGCTCGTTGAGGTTATTGGCCTGGCCCTTTAGATGTGATGATGAAAAAGGGATTATGAAGGTAGCTGATCTGTCTATCGAACGATGTGTCAACCCCTCTAGGCTGATTTGGCGGAGCGCCCCTGGGGAGATCCCCTTGGTTCCAGATGCAGAACAGACAAAAGTGGGTTGCCTATTCCGGTAACAAAAACTACTGTATTTTATTCAAACTGTCGCTTTTTGTGACCATTATTGTTCCCGAAAATGCTCAGTGACGTACCCATCGTGTGAAGGTGATTGTAAGGCAGCAGCATACAAATAAAAATATGGTAAATATGAATAGTACAATAATCAACCAGAGAACCGTATTGCTGGGCACGCAACAACCTGCAATTGAATCGCTCATTCTTTCAGAGTATTTGAAGACATTGCCATTAAACTAGACTTGAAGACTTTCAGGTGTCCTTCGCTGTCTTTCACATATGCACAGGAATCTTGCTACTTTCAAGGTTCAATACAATAGTTGCGACACTTCTGGAGTGAATTTTGCTCCGAAAAATCGACACAGCGCTTCTGTGCCAGCTTGACGCCTTCTCCAAGATGCTCGGGATATGTCTACATTACTATTCCCAAATAACCGTACTTCCTACTCTTGAGAAGTGTAGTAGAGGCTGGCACACTGCCTGAACCTGACGAATCAGATATGCATCCCAAGAAAGTTTCCAAAGAAAAAGCGGTTTGATAGGCTATCATGTCATATTACAAAAACACCTCTCCCTCATACCAGAGCTGAAAATTGCAAAGGCCAGTATCAATCCCTTCTTTCGCTCCTTTCTTATCATGTAACATACTATCGCTATGTAAAAATAGACTTTGGACTGTGTTCTTGAACGGATTCTACATTTCACTTACCATGTTTGAACCATGTGAGAGAGTTCCTCAGTGGCGAAGATTTCATTCCAGGCATCTTGTTACGGTACTTCCAAGACAGCACTTTTCTGTCTTTTGTCTGAAATTGAAATTTATGGATCACAATGACCCCAATCATGACTAAACTTTCTCCAAATTAAGGAGTTTTGACTTGATATTTTGTTAAGTGTTATTATTTCGCTGCGGTACGCGTTCCGAAAGTCTCACAAAGTCGGCGATCTATGTCTTTAGTCTCGGACGGGAATCGAACCCGTACTTGTGCTTTCGGGGTGGTGTGCCGGGTTCGAGTCCCGTTCGAGACTGAGGGGTTCAATTCTTGAAGTTTTGTCCATAGATCGCAACCTTGTGAGACCGGTAAGAGTGTATGTAACTGTGTGACAATACACGCCAATGTTGCCAAACTTTATAAAGCGTAGAGTTAGGTAATCGTGAGATCTGCTACCATCTACTCGACACAAATAGATTGATCGACACAGCTCTCGAAACTTCCGTTCCTCGCTTTTCTGATCGAATTTCAGGATCCTTCACTGGTGTACAATGCAATGACTCGGATCATCGGAAAATAAAATTGAACACAGAATCTAGCGAGGAAGAGAAGATGGTCTTACTCTGTATGGAACTCCGGAAGGCGGGAAAAAGCTCTGCCTGATAGCTTTACCACTCAGGCAGGGCATGAGATTGGGAACGATCTGATCATTTCGTTGTGTGACAGTCCACTACGTTAATTTAGAGTCCGAGAATGAGAAAATTCTGGATTTCGAGTCACTAAGGATATTTTTCCACATAATAGACTCGGACAGTCTCTCTGCTCATTCCATTCCGTTCCGTGAATCCCAATATGTAGCTCTTCAGATGTTCTCTTGAAACCAATTTTGGCTTTGAAATCACCTAAGATGACCTTGAAGAAATTATGGTTTTCTCTGAAGAGCCATTCCAGGTCCATCCATCTCGAATTCTACCAGCTCCTTTGCTTCGTGATTCGAATATTCGAAGAAGAGAAGAGAGAAGAAGGGCTGGGGTTGAGCCACTCTTCTCAATCGCGAACGTCCGATTGTCAAGCTTTAGCATGAATCGATATTCGTGGCCAAGTGCGTGATGACAAGGGTACCTACGCTGCCGACACCTTTGCTAACGCATGTACCAAGGAACAGATCCTCTCAGTCTCGAAAATGGTGTGCACCAGAAGAAGCCCTTTGGTTAGTTCGATGACTCTTACACGGACCTTCTGACTTGCAACATCAGATCTTGGATACAGGTTTCCGATATAAGCGGTATGTGCAGATCGCCCATCTCAGTCCTTCAGGGCAGCTTATGACCCTAAAGTTTTGGTTCCTTATTCCAGCCTTCCTCCAGCTTCCTAAGCACGCATACCCGAAGCTACTGCTAACTACCAACACTTCTTTCATCGAAGCCTTACGCTGTCAAACACTGGTTTCATGAACACTGAACTTACCATGTCCATTCAACTCGACTCATGGACTCCATCTTCAGTTTCCACAGTTGAAAGGCATTACTTACCTACCCACGCCGTCGAAGCGGAGCCACCAACTTTATCCAGGTAAATTTGTGAATGTACAACCCATGTTTTTTTATCGCTGGTCTAAACAAGCGATACGGTCGTAAATATCCTAATCAGCTTTGATATCATTGATCTGCCCTCGCACCTGCCGTCATGCATGAATGCCGTTCCGTTTCAGAAAAGAGGTGTTCTGACGTTCTGACAATGCATCTCTCCGATATCCCTATGTGTTTGCGATGAGGAGGACCTTCCTTTCGACCAATAGAGTAAGTAAGTCAGGAGCGGATCCTGCTCATCTTGCAAAGCAGCAGTCCATTCATCGTAGATAAAGGAGGAAGCATAAAGTCTCCGGCATTAATCAAACTAGGAATGCTCACCCGCATTCTATTTCCATTCATGGTCGCAGTGGGTATTTGAATGCGCATGTTGCTTATAGAGTGACTTTTAGTGGCCAGCCGATGTACACATCGCTGCTTTTATCCTCCTAGACGGATCCGCTACCAATTGACTGACCCCGAAGGGATGGAAGGCTTCATCAGGGATCAGATCGCTGGACCATACTCGTGCAATAGTGAGCCACTTGCCCCTACAATACCCACACACAGCCTTACCCTTATTTTCAAAAGAAGAACGGCCTCCAGCGTATCTTCCGAGAGCATCAACAGCAGCGTCAGAGTTGAAGCTACAGTAAGGTTTGATATGAATACAGATTGCTAGCACAAATACACATGCTATTTTGAAAGGGCCAGTTGATAGGTAATGTTTATGAATAGTGTAAACAACAGTCAAAGGTATGCATCATTGTCAGTTTTTCTACATCTAGGTGAGTTGTACAACAAATCTTTGGGGATTCCTAAACTCAACGGGTTGGTCATGTAGTATGAATTCAACGGGTTGTCCATAGAAAAGTCGAATAGGTTCACGTCGGAAATTTCGGTGATCCAGTTTTGGAACAAGACTTTCAGTTCAGAAATAGGCCGCATTTGAAGGGTTTTCACTCAGTGAGGACGATGCTATGGCGCTGTCGCAGTACAAGGTGTTCTTTAGGCTTTAGGCAAACAGCAATCAAAGAAGGCGTCCCTTCTGATGCGGTGCTGCTTCAGATCGGCTGAGGCTACTGCAGTAGAGCTGTTCCTAATAGTGGTTATCAAACAGTAGCCTTCTAGGCTTTGCTTAGGTACACTCTCAACAAACTTGAACTCAATTAGGTCGTCTGCAGATCGCACTGATCTAAGCTGACGTATCCGTTCGAGCGTTTTCTAAGAAAAAGGTCGCCAACCTGAAACTGTGGTGAGAAGGTAATATCAATCGCATCCTGTAAAGATTACGGCCGGTATCTCGGAAGGTTAACACCTCTGTCGACTTGTCGGTATACTATCTATCCGTCCATGAACTAGTGAATGTGATGAGAAATCCGATAGCAGAGACTACCGCTAATAGAAGCTTGAAAACAGCTATGATGTAGTATCAAACTACCCCGAAGGTGCGACTGTAAAGACAGTTTGTATTACATAAAAGCACTAATTCACTTTACTACTCAACAACGGGCGAGCACTACCGTAGTCACAACGCTAAGGACGATGAAAAGGAAACCGATAAAAAGGATTGACTGCACTCAGTAGTTCTTAAATATGAGCTCTGTGGAGATCATTTAGTTCACTCAGGAAAAAGTAGAAGTGCATTCGACCACTATGCAATCGCCCACCTGGTCACCCTTAAGTCCACTATAGAGTGGATTGCATTGATCGACGTAGTGGGCTTTTCCACGTTGCTCTTTCCAATTTGCTCGGCTAACACCAGCTCCTCCTCCAAGCCTGAAATGGCCGATGATGACCTGAACGAGGATTAGCGCTTCTCTGTGGGGCTTACCCAGTTTCTTTGTCGGAAGATTGCTCTCAATTCGTGTTCATACCTTGATGTTGGCACGCAGGCGACCAAGATTGTTAGAGCTGGTGATGTTGTTGTCGTCTCTACAATCCAAAACATCAGATTCCTGTTGTTGAACTTTCGAAGGAGTAGATGCTCATACCGAACGACGTGAAGAGGGACATCACCGACACCCCCTGCTGTCGCCTGTTCCTAGAAAAGGATAACTCTTCTCCAGTTACGGAAACGGATTTGTAGAGAGTACTTTGTAAAAGTAGAAAAAAGAAATGTCAGCTAAAGAAAAATGGGTAGAGCGAGTCGAATAAAGCGAGAAAATGGCATCCAAAGTTGCTTGAGTGACGTGAAGTTGAAGGCGAAGGTAAAGATAGGATTGCAAGCAAAAACGCAAGAGTGAGAGGAATTTTCGAGTAATTATGAGATCTTAGGGGACTTGCTGCAAATTCGTTCCCTACACAAATTTCGAGCTCATATCAGATATTTCAGTTTTAATGGCTGCAAATAATATTCCACCGACTGGTCGTGAGTAGTAGTAATGAATCATTCTTTGTTTTATAGAATTTTGGACCCTACCAGCCAACTTTTTCAGGTGAGGGCAGTTCAAGGAGATATTCCTTCTTCTGGTTCAAACATGGTACGAAGTTACACATCGTATTTACATCTACAGTATCTTTTTTACAAAAAACTGGAGCAGGAAATCTCCCCAAGCTGGATCATTCAGGTTGTTGTGTACCGACCACGTCTGCGATATGGATGTTACTTGTGCTGTTTTTGTTCGCAATCATGATGATGATCTTTTGCTGTCTATCGACGGCTTTCGTACGTTGGGTAGGTGAAACACTACTTTCCGTACTAGACGTCTCTGGAGCTGAACACCAACATCCTAGACTCTCTGATCCACACCTCTCCCATCTACTTCTTGTTGTTGAGGCCCGACTCGAGTATTAGAGTCAACGAGCTGTTTCTACAGTAACGTCATGCACCCTGAACCGTAGGAAGCAGCCGTCGTTATCAACTTCCCTGGCAGCTGCCCTCGAGGAGAGGAGAACGGAGAAAATGAGAACGAGGAAAGGCGCCATGGAACTAGAATTTTAACGAAGCATTTGCCGGAGAGAGTCAGTGAACCAGGCAATTCTTCGCTTTGCGACCATTCTTCTAGAGTGTGCTTTGAGCACGAATCGTTCTAGGAATCTGATCTCCCTAGTCAAGGACATGCACTGTCCAGGACGGGTGTAAGACAAAAGTACGAAAGAGCTTGCACCGAGGACTGCATCGAAAAGTCCAGGTTCCCGACACCTGTGAAATGATCTAGCTGGAGATGGTAGCGTGGATCAGGCTGTGAAGGCTAGAATCAATGCTGCATGGATCAAGTGGGAAGAGTTCAGTAGTATCCTTTGCAATAGACGGCGTTCCAGAACGCTTGCAGGAAAGGTATGCCGTACAATAATCCACGATGTTCTGCGGCTGCGGGCACTTCCCCGAAAGCAAGAATCATAAGAGACAGCTTCAGCAAAAATGAAGATGTTGAGCTGTGTAAGCGCTTGAACGCGACTGAAGCGGATCGCAACAAAGAGGTCAGGGCGCTCATGAAAAAAGCTTCTGCTTGGGTGAAGATGAGAGTGCAATGCCTACGACGGTATCGCCACGTTCTGAGGAAATCAGAGGATCACCCGTCAAAAAAGGCAATGTACTCCGAAGCGCCAGCCAAGCGACCGCGACGAGCCTCAAAGAAGAGGGGACGAGACGTGATGGCCTTGCCGAATCAAGGTGACAGCAGATGTTGTAGATGGAGTGAATGGAGACAGCTAACAAGAACAACGGAGACCGCGGTTGCGCTAGATTAATGCTAGGGAGAAGAAGAAGATGAAGAGGAAGAAGAAGAAGAAGAAGGAGAGGAAGAAGCTGTACCAACTAAGTTATTAGAGATCCCTTTTACCATAATCAACTACAAAAGAGGAATAGACTTACATTGCGAAGCAACAAAATGAGCCTTTGCTAGTTATCATTACAATTTTTGCCCAACTTGGAGATGTTTTAGGTGTATAGACGTCAGTTAAGGAAGAAATCGGATTCTTTGCGACGGAGATTCAGAAGCGAAGAGGAAAAACGCAGAGACAACGAAATGAGATTGAAAGAATTAGCGCTGAGACGTAAGTTGTAGCTCTTTATAACTTGAGTAATGTCCCAGATTACTATATGACAATATATGCACACTGAACAATCCAACACAACACATTTACCCCGACTGGACCTACTTGAAGCTGGGTATGTTAGATACCTGTCATCGTCTGCTAGAGCTTCTCCATAGAGAACTGTCACAGTGGTTGCATCCCTTCAGGAAAGACAGGTTTCACCTTCTTCCTCGACCTAGTGGTATTGAGCCGTGATCAAAACTTTTCAGTGACAGGACGTCAGACCGGACCAGGGCCCATGCGGAGTATTGTAACTCGATTCCCTACGTTAGGCCATGTCTAATCATCTTCATGGTTGTTACTGCTAACGAAACTTGAGTGCTAGGTAAAGTGGGAGCATGCTCACCGCTCCCTTGACCCGTCGTCTAACACTTCTATTGAGAGCGGTGCGCAATTCCCATACGAAAGAGCAAGAAAGAGAATTCCTCTCTGCTGAGCACTTTGAGCCTAGTTCGACCTCTACAGATCGCCTCAATCCGCCTTGAAATTCAGTGCTTTTCTTTCCCGGTCGTTTTGATACGCATATATTTTCGCAATCACTTCGACTTGGAGTGAAAGTTTAGTGCTGGGCACATCCTAGACCTTCTCCTTTCCTCATATACATCAGTTTTAACTACCTAAATCACCGATAACTTCAAAAAGAGCGATGTTCGTCGCTATGAGAGGCTTTGAACACCGCAAATGACATGCAGCTCTCTTAGCTCTCTCATCCTGTCTCTTTCTCCTCTTTCCTCTTTCAGTCAATCCTAATCCCTATTATACAGAACACAGAATCAGAAACTGAATGACAGTAGCTAAGTTCGAGAATTTAAGAAATGTAGGGGAGTTATATAAAGGAGAAGAAGTAAGCGTGACGAACACGAAGAAAAAAAAAACAAAAAGAACAAAAAGAAAGAAGAAGCTCCTGCAAACTAAGCTTAAACATTTCGGACAGTTATATAAATGGGACCTTTCAAAACTATTATAGTGGCACCTTATTGACCATCGATCTAACCAACATAGTCAATAATCAGCACAGTCAGGGGCCACCAGAACTAGACTGGAGGGCGGAACAAAAAATGAAATTTTTTGAATAAAGGAACGATTGAGTGATGTCAAAAACAAGGTCCAGAAGCCAAGGTTAAAATCGAAAGAAAATGACGAGCAAAAGAAATAATTGAAAATCATTTACAAAACGCAGACAACTAGCAAGAAGGCGGCCTTTCCAGAGGCGTACCATCAAGGGGTCGTAAATACGTACTTTCCCTACCTATGCCACATTTACACTGGCCTTTAGGTCTTATTCGGTTCTGCTAGAATAGTCTCCGGAAAAAAGGTTCTCTGTCGGTTTCTAACTATGAACCAGTCCGAAGAGAGCCAAAAATTTGTTTGTTAGCGTTGTTGTTTGTCACAGTGCTGCTTACAAAGTTCATTTTTTGCTGTTCTTTAGCTATACATACTACTCAAATCCGTGGCACCCCTGATTTATTTCATGCAGAATTTGTTGAAGAACCAAAACCGGTATGTACTTTCGAGACACGATCACGATAAGCTCTCCATTATGGGTAATTCCAGGTTGTACCAGGATCTCGTGAAGATGCTACCCAAAAAAATCCACCAGTTAGCCATCCAAGGTCTCGAGAATTCACTGAGCCAATTGGGTTATTTACCGGGAACACGGTATACTCCACTAGTAGTCTACCTCCGACTGGTGCCAGTGGTGATATGGCAGATACGACTTACTTCCGTCTTCCTGGAACAGTGGTAGGTGTAAGTGGTAATCACCATTACTTCTGATAGTGATTTGCTATTTTGATTTCTTCCATTACGTCTATGACAGGGTATTTTCTACTGAGAATATGTTCAAAACTCTATGATCCTAGCGGTGCTCTCAAAGGGGTCAAGAGCTTCATCGATCACCTTGTTGAATTAGACATCAAACGCTCTAACTTGATCAAATTCTCCTCGAGTTTCTCCATAGCAGTAATAATAACCTAACTTACCTAGGCGGAGGAGGTAGCAATGGAACCAGCTGATGTGGCGGCTACAGTCCATACAATTGCTAAAGAAGGTAAACTGGATGAAACTCGGCAGCAACCGCCGTTCTCAGGCGTTGTTGTCGTCAAAAAGAAGCCATGTCAGTTTACCAATGCATATGTTTATCACTCCTTAGTAATTATTCGTTTGTCGAAAACGGAAGGCTTTGCTTGTAGTGTCCATGTCCCACTTCCTGTGGGTACCGTCATTGTATCCTGATAATCAGCGCAGACTCCAATTTAGTCGAAATTTTGCAAAACGGCTATAAAAGGGGAAGGATTGGTGTTGGAGCCACAAATGAAGACTAACAAAGCCTAAAACAACCTTGTAATAGTGAGAATCTTCTTCTCTTTGTCCCACTAGGAAAAGGGATCCACTCACAACTTATAGGGAACTGACCATAAGTAAACGGCGTAATTCTGTGATTTGATAGGCTTCAATGAAAAGGTCGAGTGATAAATGATTCTTCATTTCAGCTGAGACGACTAGTGAAGTGCCAACGAGCCAAACAGGTGGCACTTCTGTAAGTTCGGAGTTACCGCCTTGTGAAGAGTTGCTGGACTAGGAAAAAAAGAGAACAGCGTGTTTGCGCCATATTTTTGTCAAGTGACCCTGCCTTCAATTCGAATGAATTGTAAATGGCACATTCAGAGGAGCCTCGTCGCCACCAGAGGAACTTTGTTGTCCGCTTTGAAAACTTTACAGTATCCAGCAGTGCCCCTCCGGCTCAAAATATAATACCGTTCTTCCTCTTTAACTTGGGAACATTACCGAACTTCTGGAAAGAGTTCACTAAAGGTGAAAGATTGTTATAGAAAGCAGGTGGCAACTTGAGCTCCCATGATTATGAGCGACCTGAGGAGCAGAAGGTGGCTTACTGAAGGGAGGAAAAGTGGTGGACTGAGTAGAATGAGTGGTGAATGTCGCAAAATTCAATACTGAGTTATAGTTTACAATTAAGGGGACAACCGGAACGACTACTCCCTACCAAGCACTGAGGCGAAAACTGCGGTAAAATATTGCTTGGCACATGATATCATATGTTTTTGATTTGATGGCGCACTCTTGTGGTGTGCGGTAACAGACAAGTTATACCAGTCGAGAACTTATATCAGAAACCCTTACCTAGGCCATCTGGTGATGACGGAACGTCCAGCGCAGAACAGGATACTTCCAAAGAGAAGCCAGTTCAGCAGAAGAAAGGTTCGTTAATGCAGAATTTACGAGAAGCCAGCTTCACAAGGGTATTCGGAAGGAAAAAAGCGTTCCAAAGTGCCTTCTCAAAAGAAAATTAATCTTCACCGGTTGATAGGGAATATAAGAACTGGTCCCAAATTGAGCAGAATTTTTCGGGGTTATCCAGATCCATCTCATGTCCCCGTTCTGGCGATGGCGCCTCCTGGTCCTTGGCCTGGCAACTCGAGAGTGAGAGAGTATTTCGAATGTCTTCTAATCAAGAGTTTTTATCAAAGATGTCAATCGTTCCAGAAGAACCACCTCGCTCGAAACCATACTTCCCCTACTGGACAGCACAGAAATTCTCCGCTTCCAAAGTTGAGCCGGTACGTTGACCTGCAAAATTGTAAGAACTCTTGCTTTCTGGCCATGAGACCTATTGAATGTCTTTTATCTCCTTCAAACTTTGATGAATTTTGAAAGATTTTCCACTTTTACCTGATAATGGAAACCCTGATGCCTGACCTGGGCAGGCTTGTTACTAGGTTTCCTTAAAGCCGGGCCGGGCGTCCATGCCCTTTGCTCTATCCTTATTGAGTCGGGGGATGCTAGTCCATTCGTCCCGTAACAGACTTGACGATACATGCTTCCAAGTTAGAGCCTTGGTGTAGGGCAACATGAGCCATGATCCCCCATGAGGTAAGAAGCACACGTGTTTGGAAAGATCAAGGAATCCTGAGATGTGCCACGCCAATAGTCTAATTCGTAGTCCTCTCTCCAGGCAACTCAACATCATGGCTAGTTCCTACTGCGAGATTGCGCCCTTTTCCAAGTTTCCATTCAGAATGTTTCACCATCGGGAAAAATTCGGGGCTCAAAGATAACGACATCGGAAAAAAGTTTCTGGACGCCAGCGGGAGCGGGACCCGCAACGCGGTAAGCATTGTGGAAAACACCTCGCCCAGTTAATGGAGATTGTTCACAATACACCTTACAGTTCTGTTCCAACAACATCGGCTGCGAGCAGTCAGGATCCATCCCAACAGGGGATGAAACCAAGCGAAGCTGACACGTCCCGTTCACGCCCTCGGGATGTCTATCAATTACGTCGCGAACTCGAACGTTTGAGAACAAATGAAATTTCGGCAGGCATGAAGGTACTGTAGGGAGTTTTGCAAAGGATATTTTCTTTTTTTTGTCGGCACCGTACTTTCTAGAGGTGTAACATGATTTTGGGGTCGAACGGCAGCTTATGGGTCAGAGCTTGTGCCAAATAATCCGCCAAAGCGATAGAGTAACAAAAAACAGCATGTGCGAGGATAGATGGCTTCTTTACATTTCCCAAATATACCGGTAAGCGGCTACATGAGGAAAGGGATGGCGTTATTCTCGCCGCGCGGCATTTCTTAGATAGTTGCCTCGAGCGGCCATGACTTGTCGAACGACCATAGTTAGTTGTACCATCCCGATCGATTACAATACGCACTTCATAACTTATGGCAATCGAAGGCTTCGGACGAGTTCTCCAATGATTCAGAGCATTCTTGACGACGCCAAGAGAAAACGTGAAAAATCTGAACGACCACCGCCGCAAAACCCTCCAAGGTTTGAGTTTAGGTCGAATCGAACTTGGTGTGCTTGGACTTATGACAATTTTTTCAGTGACCGACGCCCACCCTCCTCGAGCCAAAAAGAGTAAGTAATATTTCGATATCAGTTCCTGTTAAGCCTGTATTCTCTATGCGAGTGGAAAATACCAAACTCCAATCAAGACCAGTGAATAACCGTCCACATCTGTGTCTGGGCATTCCCCTTTTCGGTGATCGCATCAATATTTGGACTTTTCTTTGGCCCAGTATTCACGGGAATTGTGCTGGGATAAAATAAATTGTTCCCATTATCCTTCCCCTCTGAACTACAGGCATCATGATGGTCAATAGGAGCCAAGTAAACGTGTAAATAAATTCAAATAATAGATCTGGGGACTATGTGAGAGCCATAGCTTCTCCACCTTATCCGACATTTTTCGTTTACTTTTCTATATGGTTGAAATGTACAGATCACATATGAAAATTTTAAGCGATGCGAAATCTCCTGCATCGGCAGAAATGAGAATTCCTTCCTATCGCGGCGTGTCAAGCCGCACCTCAGAGAGAAGGTAAGTAGGTGTTGACATGAGCACTATAAGGTGAAACAGTCAACTGCGAGATACCCAACCTCCCATTCCCCCAGGCTATCATATTCGTGAAATTTTGTTACTGTGCCGAACTTTTGAACTGGTCAGTAAGATTCCCACGAACTTGTAGAAGGGTCTATCTTTTATCCAAACTCTACCATTGGATCCTTCGCCGTGAAACGGGAGGAACCCTTCCAATAGGGTTTGGTCGCCACGGTGGCACTCCTTCTCGGGTCTGACATCTTCTCCCTAAACGGCCTGTCGCTCTCGCCGCCCGCGATCGCGCGCTACGATGGGAAAGATTTGAATTCCCAATCGAAGGATACGGAGAGTCGCCCGGAACCACTGCTGCAGGCCGTGAGAGCTCGGGGAAAAGTTCCGTTACCCCTTCTCCTCTAACCCTTGCGGCAAGCGGCAGTGGTTCCGCGGCAGCTACCGTATCCTTCCACTGGAAATTCAAACATCTCCCTTTCCGGCCCATGACCGTGCGCGATCGGCTGCGGGGCGTGGCGCGAACATCGGGGGAAAAATAGCACACTAGATCGCTCCTATCCACATTTTTACAACTCGACCTTACCTTTGCGTCCTTTTCAGCGTTATATTTTGACCCTCTTTTCTATTTTTTACAAATTAGTTCATAAATCGCCACTAAGCTGTCTCACACCCTCGTTCGGTTCATTCCAGGTGAATGAATGGGGCAAGCCGTGTCTTTTTGAGCAACAACAATTCTAAGTTGATTGGTTGTAAGAAAATGGTGTTAACATGAACGTTAACGATAATGCGATCGTTTCATATAGTTTACTCGCCTTTCTTATGTTCAATATATATTGTTGTAATAGAAATCGCATAAATAAATGGAACATTTACAGTCGTTTCCAAGTGTCTCTGAGAGATTTTGTCTTTCCCACTTCGTTCCGCTACCGTTTCTATCGAGAAACTGTAACCGTCATGCTATCTGATTGAGAGCGAAGTAGGACTCAAAGTAGCCTTCGTCAAGCGACCCTCCTGTGCATTCAACATTAATCAAAGCCATAGTGCTGACGTTCTAGGAAAATTTGTCCACCTCCAAGAACTTCTGAAGATTGGGGCAATTAGGGAAGTTGAAGGCAAAAGCGAGAAGAATCTAATTTGGGAGTCCATTCCCAAATTGTACTACTGTATGGGCTTACCAAAGAGTAGTGAGAGGGTAGAGGAAAGCTCTTCCCTTTCACTTCAAGGTTTTCTTCTGATCAAAGGTTGATGCACAATATGTAGGGGACTTACATCGAGTTTTTTTTGTTGAAAAGCTTACGCTGCTTCCAGATTAAGGGAACAATCGATCAGCGAGTTTTCTCGAGATTTCTGGGTAGTTTTGCTTTCCTATTCCAGCATCTGAGCTTCTCCCCACCAGACCGCGCTTGTGAACGAATTGTGATCGAAAAACATCAACTGACTAACTTGTATTCAAAAATGTTGCCTGTTATTTGTATGGTTAGTGCTTGTGTTGCTTCAATCGCAAGCTGTTGTTTGACTATAATTTTTAGGAATTGTAGTGTTTTGCCTAATGACGTCAGGAGATTATTGTAGCCCGATTTTGCTGCCCATTGCAAGGTGATTCTGCTCAATTGTCCAGTTACTGCAGCTCATTCTCATGGCGATTGGGGGCCAAAACGGAAGCTTGGAAAAGACTAGGAAAGGTAGACCAGTTATACTGCTTTCACAGGCTGCCGCCTAATTTCTTTTGCTCTTCTACACTTCTTGGTTCAGAGTTGAGTGGAATCAGATTTCTAAGGTTAGACTCGCAAGGAATATTGAAGACAACACTTATTTTTGCACACATTTACAAAATTGTTTTTCAGGCGACTTGTCTTAAGCTCTTCTGATTTCGTCAAAGGATCAGCCTAATCTTGGGATTTTCACATATCCTTAGTAATGAGGATTTCTAATGAAGAAAGTGCCTACCGTATCTGCTGAACCTCTGAAACGTTAACTTCTAACTTCAGCAGAAGAACTGGAATCCCTATAGCTCCTATCCTCCTCACGTAAGCGTTTTCCTTCCAAATAACCTCGTTCTCGAGTTTGTTATCACTGTCGTTATCCGAGGTCTAGCTCCTAGCATCTCAATCAAGCAACCGTAGTCCGTGAGCAATCATATTTTTTGATCATTTCAACTCCTCACTTTTTCAAATGATTTCCTGCCTTTCCGATAGCCTCTGAGATCGCTGTCAGATTCGCATTTACATCAAATTACTCTTTAGAACTGTCAGATAAATCAAAAAAGGGGTCAGTGGCAAGTGGTGCACCATCAAACCTGCGTGATCGGTATCTGCCCAGACAAGCAGTTTTTCCATCCCTTCTAAGTCGGTTAGCCGGTACCAGACTCGTCTGGAAGAATAAAAACGCTTACTTGTACATCGGCTGGTTACCGCAAGTCATTATATAGACCTCATTACCCATTCAATACATCACTAGGATTCTGAATGGAAGTTGAATGGCAGACGCATCCAAAAAAAATTGATCGACGCACGAAACCTTCATCCTTTGGATGGAAAAACTATTTTGTTCCACTTTCAGCGAATCCTTAGCGGACTAAGAGCTATGGATGCCAAAGCAATGCGAAAAACCCCTCGTCGTTAAGAGTGTCCAGCATGGGTATCTCCCGATTTTCTGAAAACCAACTCATGAATCAGGTTTGATTCAGGGGTATTTTGCAAGCACAATTTTTTTCGCTGCCACCGAACCCACAATTTTACATTACTAAGAACCATAGTAATCTTATGGTTTGTCGTTGATTACTGTTATGAATTTGGCTATTGTTCACCTTTGTCTCGGTGATTACATTCAACAAACATACCATTCGAACCTATGCCACCATAATTTTGTACATTGCCAATACAACATTAAGAAGTTGCAAAGTTTGCAAGAAGTCAAAGAATATTGGATTGGAATCTTGGGTGGTTTGCATCATTTATTGGTAAACATCCCCAATACGGTCAAGTTGGGCCATTCCTCGAAGGAATGATGTCAACCAGGGTTCAAGAAGCCTACGAACCGTTGAGCCTTGTTTTGGTGCTATTTATGAGGATTTAGCAGCTTTTCAGCAGCAGCAGATTTTCTCAGCTCACATCAATGACACCATCCACTCACTCAGATAGTTCCCCCACGGATGGCAACTTTCTAGTTC